AAAAAAAAAAAAAAAAAAAACAGAACAGGACAAGTACAGACTACAGAGCCATACACCAAGATTTAAGGCTACTTTCGGCACCGCAAGTAAAGTAGCACTCGCATTTCTATCAACAGCCGAAATTCTCGACTCGCGATTAAACCTCGGCCCATGACCCCATGAATCGGCACGCAACCAAGGCCCGTACTTAAAATCCCCCGAGGGATACCTGCAGGTCCTAAAGCTATTGCCAATCAGCCCACATTGATAACAAAAAACACCCAGCTTCTCATACTTGAAATCGACCCATATAGGATGCGACCCGGCCCTTTCGAGCCAAAACCCGGTTGCCAATGGCTTCAAGACATCCAACACAACTCTCAACCTCAGAAAATTCCGGGAAGGTAGCTTCCCACTACACACAACATCACAATCTGTGAACACGAACTGTTTGATAAGTTGGCCGATACTCCGCCCGATTTGAGCCGTCAAGCAGTCCGCCGGGAGCCCGTGGGCCTGAACCCAAAAGAGGGACCGAGAGAAACTGAGCTCGAGCGGGGAGCCGCCCGGAGGGCAAGCAGACAGCATCAAAAGACCGCCCATGATAGTCCAAGGTCGGTTGTTTAAGACATTGGCCAGATCTTTGTTGTCCTGAAAGACAAACATGAACAAATTGCGGCTGATTTGGGATACGGTGAGGCCATTTTCGCACTTCCATTCGCCGCGCACGAAGGATTTCACAAGGGCTTCGTCCAACGGCTTGTAGTGAAGGATCTTTCCGATCAAGCAGTTATTTTCGTGGATTTTGGTGAGTTCTTGGTCCGTTTCGAGGTTTATAGCTGAAAGGTGGGATCTTTCCATGTTTGGTCTGTGAGAAAATATTGGGTCTCAATAAAAAATGAAAAGGGGTTTCTTGGGAGAGAGATAACAATGGCGGACAGTGAAGAGAGAATAAAAATGGCGGAAAACGAGAAGGGTTTGGCATTATTCGTACAAATAGGGAAAGTGAAAACATGGTTTTTTTAACCTCTGTATAGTATAGGACACGAAGATGGATTAACTGAGGGTAGGACACTACATTTGGCAGCTGTGTGCAGAGCGCAAGGAGAGGGTTTAATGCATTTTGGCCTTTTTTGACAGGTTTTGAAAGTGCTTTTTCAGAAACGAGGTTCGGAGAGTTGAATTGGAAGTGGACATGTTTTGAAGATGATGTTTATTTTAGCATATCCTCCGGTTTCTAATGCTTCGGAATCCTATTTGGCGAAGAATCATGCTTCGTAATTAGGTTTGGATAAATAATATTGATATATTAATAATTAATAATCTAGGTTCCGGTATTCCATAAATATTATTTAGCTAACTTAGGTATTTTAATATCACTTTTACTAATATAACGCTTTAATTCTTTGTAATTTTACATAGTGAGGCACTAAGTGACTAATATATCCCTTAATTTTAATTTGTTTCATTCAATAAGCTATTGAATTATAAATGTATTTTAAAAGTTGATAACTTTTGTATTTTTTATCGATTATATAATATATCAAATTAATCATTTTTTGATGATCTTCGATTTGACATCCATATTGTTTGTATTTCTTATCGGTTTTACATATATAATATATCAAATTAATCATCTTTTAATGATCTTTGATTTGACATCCATATTGTATATATGAAATAAATAAATAATATTTATCTTTATAATAATATTTATTAAAATTCATTAAAAAATAAAATTATTTCTCAATTGAAATATTTATATGTAATGTAGTTATATATTGTAAGTTAAAAAAAATAGTTTAATAAAACACAAGTAAGTTGCACAAATAAAAAGTGTCATAATAAATTTATAATAATATATATATTCTTATAGAAGGTATTTAAATTTTCAAACTACTTTTTCTCATTAATTTTAGATTTTAAGAAAAAAAAAATTTAGCAAGCACCCGTGTAATACACGAGTATTGTACTAGTTTGGGCAAGAGAGGAGTATTTTTGTTCACAAACTCTCTTCATACATACTATGAAATAATATACTTTTGGTTATATTATTTTAGAGTATAATAATATTTCAATTTAAAAATATGTAAATCTCTAGAAAAACTGTCTGCCTAGTAACAACATTACTTGTATTTTGGTGGTTCGATTTTACTTTATCTTGTATTTTTATTATAGACTCACTTAACGGTTAGATCCCTTCATAAAAGAATTTGTGTTATTTGATATATGATTGGTACAATTATAAACGCCCCGAGTAGATATGGCTAAAACCCGGTCGGGTCACGATTCGGCCCGCCCGCTCGACCACCGGATTGAGTTTCGATGACCCTGAACCAGCACTGACCTAAGGTCTTGTTGGGTCCACGACTCGGCGGGCCGAACCAGGGCCGACCTAGATCTGGACCCAGCCACATAAGAAAATTAAAAAAAAAATAAATTAAAAAGCAATGTATTTTTCGTGTCGGCACAGACCCTGCCCAGCCCGGCCCGCCGGATCAAGCTCGACAAAGACAAGACCCTTGACCGGCCCATTTAAAATCCGAACTGGGATTTTAAACGAGTCTTAAACAAATGAGTCTTAAACAAGACCCTTGACAAGACCCTTTTGTGTTTTTTTAGTTTGACTCATTAATTAAACGAGTCTTAAACAAACTCGAACTAACTCAGTAACTTGTTTATCAAACACACAAAGGACATATTTCATTTTACAATGCTGATGAGGGTGTTGAATGATATTGGTCTCGTTTGTCTTTTAGCTTTTTGCCAAAAAGTTGTTTTAGCCAGTTTTGAGACTAAAACCGGCCAGGCAGGTCGACCAGGTCGACCTGGAACCGGTCCAGTGGGCTAATTGGACCGGGCAACAAAAGATCTGGCAAAACTCGGCCAACCCGATATTGACCCACTCGACCCGGCTCATTGACCCGAATGGGTTAACCCCATTGACCCGGACCCAATATAATTTTTTTTTTTTGAAATATTTTTTGTTTTTGAAAAAGAAAACTATGTATATATATTTATATGGTAAATATTTATCATTAAATATATATTATTAACACTTTAGTGTACATATTTTATATACAAAATATTTAATTTTGTTACTTTTATGTATATTTATATGACAAAATACTCTATATAAAATTTTTAAATTAATCATCCGATGCAACAATTGATCCAGTGACCAGACGATTAAACCGGCGATCCAGAGACTTGCCCGAGAATCGCTCGGGCCGAGTTTAAAAACTATGATTTTAGCGGGTTTGACCGAAATGGGAAAAACACATATAATTTTTAGGTTTTTTTTTTTCGAAACGACATATTTATAAAACTAGTACAGATCCCGTGCGATGCACGGGGTGCACAAAAGTTATTTATCGAGTCTTATAATTATATAAATGAATAAAGAAAAATATACGAGATATATAGTACATGACATGTAATAGGCCCAAATGTGAACACGGGTGATGCACGGGGTGCACAATTTTAAGGTCATTTATTAGTTATGAGTATGTGCGATTCACGGGGTGCACAATTTTCTAATATGTGTAATACAAATACATACTGTATGCACGGGATAGAAGCACTAAATGAGTTATTTCCACAGAGCTTGCTCGTTAAGTACCTCCTGAACACGGGTGCACAATTTGTAGTACGTACCATAAAATCAGAACATATTTCCATACAATTAGATAATAAATAAAAGCCTTTTTTATTTTAGTAAAGATTTTACGTACTTTTTTATTTCCATCCAATTTTGTAGGATGCATTAAATATTGATTAGATTTTATATGTAAAATAAAATAAAAAATAACTTGAATAATTTTACGTGTTGCAATATTTTATATTTAGAAAAATTAAAAAATCTTCTTTTACGTATTGCATACCAACATTTTAGGAATTACATGGATATTCCTAAATTAATATTGCATACCCAATATTTTAGGAACTAATTAAATGCTAATTTGATTTGCATACAAAAAATATTAGATGCATTAATCAAATGCTTGATAAAAATAGCAAATCATTAATTAGGGTTGACTATTCTACATACTACATTTAGTAAATAGTATAGCTTTTAATATAAGTATAGATAAACACATAATTACAAGTAATTATCCGTGACAAAAAAATATGAGGGCATTTTGGTAAAAATAACAAAGAGAGTCGTGCTCATACACTGATAGGGTTTTTCAGCCCCGTCCACTCTTTCTTCGTCTCAACTCCAGTTCCCGCCCCCGCCGGAGAGGAAAGTTCGACGCCTCCGCCTCGACCTTGCCTTAACCTCCGCCTCGACCTAGCCTCACGCCGCCGCTTCGTCCTCTCTTATTCAGTGCTGAAGCAATCGAAAGCAAGAGCACCTCTCAATCTCTTAGCTGAAATTTGAGGTCGAGGCAGGTTTTCCATAGCCGGCTTCTGGATTTTTTAAAGTCTCATACAGAGGTATAGCTTTCATACTCCTTCCTTTGGTTGCTTTGTTGAGGTTTTTGGTTTGTATACCCACCAATTGAATCTCTGATGTGTTATTGATTGATGACAGAAGATAATTTTAGGAGTTTTTGCAATTTTGACCAGAAATTGGATTTGTTAACTTTCAGGCTGCTCATATATAACTGACTCTGGAATTTGATCTGGATTTTTGGAAGGTTAATTGCCTAATGCCAAAATCCATATTTTTCGTTGATGGGGGAACTTTTAAATAAATAGAAGTTCATGTCTCTATTTGTATCTGCCAATCTAATTTTGAATGAACTTGAAGCATTAGTTTGCTGTTTTTTTACCAAGAATGGTGTATAATGTTCATACATTTTGATTTAGTACATCTATTTTTTATTATTTTTTCTTTGCTTCTGTTATGTTCAAATTGATAAGCTACTGAATATTCCTTGTATCTAATGGATTAACAATGCAAGTGAAAGTATTCAACATATTATTTACATATAATATTTGTACTTGAATTAAAAGTGCAAGTGAAAGTACCAATGTTATTAACATATTAGTTTCTAATGGATTAAAAACTATATACTATTTATTAGTTGTAGTAAAAGTGTTTAAAATATACATTAACAGATTAATGTATATTAACATGAGTTGTAGATTTGATCTTAGCATGAGTTGTGCTATCTTCACAAGTATGAATATTCAATATCATAATCTAAAATATAAAACTGAAAAGTATAATATTTGATAAAATAGATATGCAATTTTATTCGTGGTCATTGTATAACATAATAATTTGTGATTTAGCAAAGGTTAGAGACAGAGAGTATGTAATGCTTTTTTTGGTAAATTGTGTAGGAAATTTGCTAGTTAGTTTTTTTCACTGTGTGATTTTTTTTGTGTGAATTTATACTGTTAACTGTTCAAAGAACTAAATGTTGCCTTCAATCTTGGAGACCGCACATGTGGGTTATCAAGCACTAATCTGCATTTTTTTTTTTCTTTTTATTTCTTCTTAGAGGTTGATAACATGTGTTTTTGCAAAAACACAATTTTTCACTATCCCTTTACAAAAGTTTTCACTTTCTGGCGGTTTTTGGGGCATGGGCAGGGCAGCCCGCCTAGAACGTGCCAGGTTGTGGGCCCGACCTTTTGGGCCCGTTGCGGGTCATGGGCGAGGGTGGGTCCATGGGGCAGGTGTGTGGGTCAGCTCCACGTCCGTAACGACCCGGCCCGACCTGGCCAATTGCCAATAGAAAGCAAGTCTTTTTAAAAATAAAATCTAAGAATGTAATCTTGCAAACTTCAACAACTACATCTTTGATTATTTTTGTTTAATATCAAATATAATATAAAACTTGAAATGGAAAATTAGTAATTTTGGCTAGAAATTGAAAGTTTTCCTTTCTAATTCCGCGACAGCTTCATAAGTGGTTAAATGATGTATATGCACTCTTAAACCCATAGCAGTGAGTCTGGGAGTGTGACGAGAAGATGGAGAGACCAAAGAAGAAGCAAGTGCTACTTTTCCACTGTGTGGAAGCTGAAGATTTGGCACACAAGGTCGCAGCTCATTCAGACCTCATCCAGCTACAATCGATTAACTGGAGGTACAGTAAACCAACCCTACCAGGCTACCTCCAATCGTTGAAAAAATAAAAGAATAATCGATCCTTTATGCTCACTAACCATTTTTTATTTTTCAAATATGAGGCTTTTTCGATCTCTACTTATTTAGGGTGCTATATGCTCTGTTATTATGGTGAATGTGGCTGATAATTTTGATTGCTGAGGATAAATTTGATGTTCTTATTTCAGACATTTTCCTTATTGTACAGACATGTGAATTTTATTTTTATTTGTTCTTATTGGTTGTGTACCTGCCTTCAGAAACATGTAAAACGTATAGAGTAGTAAACTGAGAGTAGACTTCTTATGACAGTTCTTTGATCCGACTTTAAGGAATTAGTAATTGTGCACCAAGATGATGTAGCAGAGCTTTGCGTGGTATATTGTGTTCAACGTTTTTTTTCCCCTCTTGATGCATTTGTGGGCTTTGGTTATTTTGAGGATTATTTTAAGATTGACTTGGTATTAAGAACCAGCAGCTATTTTGGCATGTTGACATTTTGTTTAATAATGCACAATTTGTTATTTAATTGTAACTTTTTGATTTTGTACAGGAGTTTTGATGATGGGTTTCCAAATCTTTTCATAAAAAATGCACATGATATCCGAGGACAACACGTTGCATTTTTAGCATCTTTCAGCTCGACAGCCGTTATTTTCGAACAGCTTTCAGTCATTTATGCTCTCCCAATGCTGTTTTGTGCCTCATTTACAGTGGTGCTGCCTTTTTTTCCAACTGGTTCCTTTGAACGAATAGAAGAGGAAGGTGATGTTGCAACTGCATTTACCTTGGCTCGGATGCTGTCCAACACTCCTATCTCCAGGGGTGGTCCTACCAGTTTAGTTATCTACGACATACATGCTTTGCAGGTGACATTCCCATATCCATACTAATTGCCTTTTCGTTTTCAAAATGTTTTTGTTAAGTATCTTTGTTTATTGATATATTCTCTTTGTTTCTTGATACATTTAAAGAAATGCATCCTAACTTTGTTACCCTAGGTGTGAAACATTACATTGAATTTCATCCATATGAGGAAAATTTTCATTTTTCTATAATCATAGAGATAAAGCCCACACTTGGTTTTGTTCGAAAATAACAGGCCTTGCGAAAAATGTCTTTAGTCTTTTCCTAGCGGTAAGCTAAAAAAACCATGCAAACAATGTGGGTAATGGTAAATATTTTAAATTACCTCAGGATTGTTTTAAGCTTTTTCCTTCTTTTTATAATTGGGAACAAGCCAGGAATTACATTTGTAGTTAACAAATTTTCCTTCTCTGAGCGATTGATAGACCTAAAACATGGGGATAATATCTATCGTCTGTTTGTAAGAATCTAAACAGAATAGGGAACCAAATCAGAGTCCTGTGATGTGTGAATAACGGAAGCTCTAGAACATTGGCTCGAAATTTAAGTGGATCTGTTTACTAGTGTTAGATATATGTTTGTTGAATGCAATTTAGACCTTATAAAGAATTATTTGCAAAGTTGTGGATTGAATATCTGATCCCCAATGTTTTGTCCTGCTTTTTTTCTTTTGTCTGATTTATTGGGTTTTCATGTGCATAAATTACAACAACGACGACAAAGCCTTTTAGTCCCAAACAAGTTGAGGTAGGCTAGAGATGAAACCCAAGAGAAACAGTGAAAAAAAAAATCATTTGGTATTTGAGTAGATGCTGAATGAAGTTCTTTTGGAAAATCCTCTTTACACAATCATTTTGAAAGCTTGATAGTCTTTTTTTTTTTTATGTTTGTACGCATGGAACTTGACAAGATCATTTGGTCAATATTAGTAGATTTAAGGTTGGTATTTGAGTAGATGCTGAATGAAGTTCAGAAATGATGCAGTTTCTATTAAAGTTTCATGGTTTTTATTCACAAGTTGAAGATTTTACTTCCATGATGCCTTAAGAAATGTATTTTCCATCTGCTAATTTCTACAGGAAAGATTTTACTTCAGTGATACTGTATTGCCTGTGTTTGAGAGTGGAATCCCACTGTTGAAGCAACGGCTTCAGCAACTTCCAGAGTTAGATAAGGTGATTGCGCATATCCTATGAAACATATATCGTTGTCCTTCAAGGGGTCCCGATGTTATTCACAAATGAGATCCTCATCAAATTTATTAGGCTAACTTCTAAATTTATATAGATCATTGTTGCATTTCCTGATGATGGAGCTTGGAAAAGATTCCACAAGCTGCTCGATCATTTTCCTATGGTTTGTATTTTTCTATGTTATATATAGCATTAATTTTCTTTATATGTTGCTTTTGAATTTTCATTTTTGGGGAAATTTCTGGATCGCAATGACTGTTGTAGGTCATCTGCAACAAGGTTCGGGAAGGAGACAAGAGAATAGTTAGAATAAAAGAGGGTAACCCTGCGGGCTGCCACGTTGTTATCGTTGATGACTTGGTGCAATCTGGTGGCACCTTAATCGAGTGTCAGGTTTTGCTTCTTGCCTTCTCTTTTTTTATTTTCAATGGATTATGAACTCGTGGAGTTTCTCAATGAATGAGCTTATGTATTTTTATTTTTGTTGAACAATTATGACATTATAGAATATTACTAGATTATTTGGCAAAATAAATTTGAATATCACATTTTCTTAGTAGCAGCTCTTTGTAAAGAACTCCATGTGAAAAGGATTCAAAACCAAACAATAGAGTTGTGTGTAAAGCAGATTTTCAATACTTACGTCCGGATGATTTGTCGAATGAATTTGGCATTTAATAAAAGCTAACAGCCAATCAATGCAAGTTTTGACGCTATGTGTTCCTGTTTTGGTTTTGTCAGAAAGTACTGGCAGCTCATGGTGCCGCTAAGGTGAGTGCGTATGTCACACATGGTGTGTTCCCGAACAAGTCATGGGAGCGTTTTCTTCACAAGAATGATGGTATGTCTTGTTTTAATGACTATTCGTAGTTTCCATTTCTTTAATCTTTATTTATTTTTTATTAAGTACCGATTGTGATTGCCGTTCATTGTGTATTGTGAGGTTCAGAGAAGGCTTTCACCCACTTTTGGATCACTGACTCGTGCCCAGTTACTGTGAAGGCTATCATAAACAGAGCACCATTTGAGGTGTTGAGCCTTGCTTCTTCTATAGCAGATGCTCTCCAAATCTAAACTTCTCTACATGCTTTAGTTTTGCCAACTTTAAAAATGGTAACAATAAGTTAGCTTGCTTGAACTAGAAGTCTAGAATAGCCTTTATTCAATCCTAAAAGTACATTTCATATCTAAAGCATATTCTTGCTTTGGAACTTCAGATTCGGCGTGCACTGGTGGTTCTGTGTTGTTGGAAATTTAATCATTAGAAAAATTAAAGATGGTTGTTGTATTTTATATATTTATATTTTATTTGTCGTCTCAGGTTCCGGGATTTAGCTGAACTAGATACGGTCGCCTCCTACTGGGAAATATAGTACTATATTATGTTCTTGTTTGGGAGCACATCACAAATGAACTTCTCCAGAAGTCTCTATTTCTTCTTTTAAAAAGGGTTTTTTTGGGAATCAGAAAGTTCAATCTTAATTATCCATCGAACATGAATTATATTCTTAAAATGGATTTTTGCATATCCAAATGGCTGTTTCCAAACATGCTCTAAATTAACTTAGCAGAGCACTCCTTTTCTGCACGGAAGGCATTATTTATACTGATTTGAGAGTTGAACAATGGAATTGTGGGAGTTTAATTCGAGATGGCCGAGCAGGTGGCTAGGGCTTACGACCGGGCACCCTATGCCCTTCGGCGCCACCTGGTGATTCTCACGTTTTTGAACGACGGCAATCGAGACCCCAGGCCAAAAAAAAAAAAAGTGTATGCGATTAAAAATTATTCTATGTCGTGTAATCCAGTTTAAAAAATATAATTACGCACCATATCCTTTTCTTTCTTCCATATAGTGTTTGGTACACTATGGAAATGTATTGATGAAATGTGCAGATTTTCTAATATTATAAGGTGACTTTCTAATATTATCAGTCCGATATACCTACTTTTTTCTTTCTTCCATATAGTGTTTGGTACACTATATGGAAATGTATTGATGAAATGTGCAGATTTTCTAATATTATAAGGTGACTTTCTAATATTATTAGTCCGATATACCTACTTGTATTATCAGGTGACTTTAAGTCTATAAAGAGATTACAGATGGGTGCGCGATAATAGATTAAGAATTTCTAAAACTCAACTTTGGATGTACTTTTATCTTAGTACTTTTTTATCTTTTTGTCGCAAATAGTATTTTACTAATTTTAAAGATTTACAACACATAGAATTTTTACTTTACTATTGATTTCTGTGTATTTTTAAACCGGATTTAAGTCCGCCGTGCATGCACGGCGTAGCCTAACTAGTTATTAAAACATAGCTCAGAGGTTAGGTTTTAGGGGTGATAATCGATTTTGTCGTGCTATAACTTAGAAGATAGTCAGTATTTCAGTTTTCCTGAAAATAATTAAGATGTGATTTAAACCGAACAATTTTAAACTATTTTTGTACTGGGTGTTACGTAGTAGATTTTTTTTTTTTCTTTTTTGGTCTTTGTTGTTATTCACGTTCATAAATCAGTCCTAACTAGTACGTGTCCCGTCCAATGCACGGATAAAAATATTAAATAAAGTATTTTCACAAGCTCTGACAGTTTAAATCTAAAAACCACAGAGTTATCATCCATTTTTCACATCTTTAATCAGTATTAAGTCTAAAAATCAACAGAGTTATAATTTATTTTTCACCTCTTTTAATCAGCGTTGTTTACTTAGCGAGAACATTAATTTAAGCATGTTATGGCTAGCTTGTAAAAATAATTAGTATATTATTTCACTAACACGTTTATATTAATATAAATTTGATTTTAGCATATATATATATATATATATATTCCTTGATATAAGAGAAAAATAACAGTTTTTACTTATTATTGTTCACCAGATAATAGTTAATTATTATTTATTATAAATTTTGTTGTCATATAATGTCATTATTATTTATAAAAGTTCTAGAAGGTGTACGTCTTCTTATTCTTTTTATTTTATGTAATAAAAAATATTTAATGCACATTGGTATTATTTATTATATAATCAATTTAAAATATGTAAATAAATTTAAAATTTAGTGTAATAAATATTTTACAAAATATACACACATGTTTTTTAGAATTTAATTTTGTATACTAATTAAAAAACTTGATTTAACAAATGCTAAAATCTCAATACATTCTATAATTAAGATTTTTTCAATTTGCATTATAAGAATTTATACTTTATTAGCATACTCTGTAATAAAAATAAATTTAACAAGAATTTTATTATAGAAATAAATCAAAATAAAAAAATAATAAAAAATAAGCATGGTTGTCAATAATATACAAATAAATTCTAAATCACAATTAATATATTTCAGTTTTAATTTTTTACCATTAGTGAAACTATTCAATGGGTGTGGTCATTATCTTTTAAATACTAAATCATATTAATCTAAAGAATAATTTATTTTTATATATAACGAAATAAAGCTTAAGAAAAAAGAATGTTGGCAGAGATTAATTCACCAACTTGATTCGTCATATTAATTGGAATAAAAAATTATATTATTTTCTATAAATATTTTTAGATAAAAAGTGAATATTTGTGAAAAAAAATTAATATTATGGTTAGAACTTAAAATATGTTGTAAAATATAATCCTTTAATTTTCAAATAGTATTATCATTACAAGTGATATATTCAACGGAGATTTGCTTTTTTTTTTTTTATGGTTAAGTTTACTACATTTTAGAAAATTTTATTGTTATTTTAAATTATTCGTTAAGTTAGTATGATTCTAACAGAGTTATTCTAATTATCTTATTATATATTCTAAGAACTTATGATCGGTGAACATAATTAATTAGTTAATATTTACAACCATAGATGATAATATATTTAACTAATTTTCATAATATTTTTTTCATTTGTGTCAATAACTTATATGAAATTAATACTAAGATTTTATTAAAAATATTTCTAAAATCTACGGTATATATATATATATATAGTTTTTGTTCATATATAAGATTTACTAATAAATAAAAATTAATTAAATTTCAAAATATAGACGAATAGAATTTCCACGCCTAAACCATGTCATTTATGGCGTATATGGATTGGTTCATTATATGTTGACATACGCTTCAATCATAATCTGATTATTAAGATGTGTTGGTAATAATAAATCGTATAAATTAAATAAATAGAGAAATATTAACTAATATAAAACTAATTTTGAATATTAATAATATTTTTATATATAATAGTATAATATATGATTCATATATTTCTTTCATTCATTGTACTGTTAATTTGGACTTTTTTTTCAGAATTAAAAAAAAAAAATTTGTTAGAATTTAACATATTCAAAGATTCAATAAAGGCATCCGCAACGCGGAGTTCTTTTTTTGCCGTTTAAACGCCCCATCGTTAAGCATGAATGTCGATCATCCATTAAAAAGAGGGCCCCACTTATTCGTTCAATCCATTGAACGCCTACATGTTTTTTTTAATCATTATTCAACATGCTTTTTTTATTTTTCTTTTTTGTTTTAAAATCATTATTTATTCACGCATGCTTTCTTTTTTTGATTGAATGAATGATATTTGTGTTAAAGGGTTGTGGATGCCTAAATAATACGCGAAAATATATTCGCCACTTTGTGTACTCTTACTCACACCTTATTACAACATATTATTTTTAATCCCTAAATAAGTGGTGATAAAGTTAAAAAATTGTAGCAAATATTATAAACCGGAACTTAATTTAAAATAATGTAGTGGTTATTATTATAAAGTTATAATATTACATTAAAATTATTACAATATTTTACTAATTTAAAATAATGTAGTGGTTATTATTATAAAGTTATAATATTACATTAAAATTATTACAATATTTTACTAATGTGTATCATAGATATTTTGAATTTTATTTCTAATATAGTAATTCACATGACACTTGACATCGATTGATTTATCATTATAATTTATAATAATATATATTATAATAAATTGATTTATTTATAAAGTAATAATTTACATCATTCTTCGATAGACATCTTATTGGTTTATTATTATAATTTATAGCAATGAACATTATAAATATTGGTTCTTTCTTTCTAAGTTATCACTTTTCACGTATAGTTGGACATATTATTCGTTGCTTTTAGACATGGCCACGGGCGGCCCGGCCCGTGGCCCGACCCGTGACCCGGTACCGGCCCGGCCCGGCCCGGTACCGGTACCGGCATGAACAGTGCCGGGTTCGAGAACCGG